TTAGCAAAATCTCGTTAGGCAAACGAAATTATCCGTAAGACAATAGTCCTCTGGACAGGGGGTATGATTAAACAAAGCCATTAATTGAGAGAGCCGCCTTGGCAGCTCCCCGGATGCGCGCCTCCCCGGGCAGGCTCCACCGGCTTCCCAGGGCCCGAGGAACAGTCTCCGCCTCCTGCTGCCTGTCCCACCCCTCCCCCTCGGTCTCCCGCTTCCAGAGCCCCTTCAGTTGGGGCTGCAGACCTCGCCATCTCATCAGCGGCCTCTCTGCCACCAGATTCCTGCTAAAGTGCCTTGATTGCATAACGTCTATTTGCATAATGTAAATTGCAGTCTCCTAGCTCAGGAGGCAGGAGTCACAGAACAGCCATTATTTTTTACCACTCCACAAAAATTCTACATTTAGAAAGCAGATTTGCGGCTCAGAAAGCCGTATAAATCTGAATCTGCCAGAAATGCCATTAAATCACCCCAATTAAGCCGGACCAACGAAGAGCCCCCGTCACCGTTCTCTGCACACGTGAGGACTCCGGGCCCAGATGGAGGCCGAGGCCAACTGGGGGCTGTGGCGGCCGGGCAGGGAGCAGGAGCTGGGGGAGGCAGGAAATTACATCGTAGAAACCTTAGCACACGCCGAAGCATAGGCGCCCATCAAGACCTGGTGGAGAAAGATTTCTTGCGGGCACACAGTGTGTCTCCTGACTTTTAATTTATGCAGCAGGAGAGAGCTCAGGAGGAAGGAGCCTGCACCTGTAGCAACGGTACAGAGGGAGATCCGAGGTGCCTCACGAGGGGTGAACCGTCCCTGCCTGGAGCAGCTCTTCAGTGGCCTGTTCTCTCTCCTCCACCCAAGTGAAGGAAAACTGAGGACAAATCCTGCTCAGACTGGGCTGGGCTGGAATGTTAGCTCCTTTTAAGGGCTGTTTCCTGGGGGGGGGGGGGGTCCCTGGGGAGAGAGGTGAGTCAGAGGCCCTGGAAGGGGGCATTCCCTCTGACAACCACTCGTGATTCCAGCTTCCCCACAGCGCCATACCTGGCTACTCTTTGCCTCTTTATGGCTCATTCAATATTCATCTGTCAAAGGGCAAGATGCTAATGTGTATTATTAAAATATCAATAGTTTATGAGTGCACCTTTATGGAACGTACACTTAAAGGAAAGATTCTTGACCATCTCTGTCGGAAGCAATGGAGAGGAACAACCCCTCCAGCTCCACTTCCTATGTCTTCAGGGGGTGGACGGCTGCCTGAACCGTCCTGAGCAGCTGCTGTGTGCAGGAATGGCTCGGCTGCCGTCGCGCTGGACTCCGCTCAGCCCCACGGCAGGCCTGGGAAGCGCGTGCAATCCCATTTTCGGTGTAGAGAAGAGGAATCGAAGACCAGAGAGATGGGCTCAGGATCCTAAGTCACAGGCCGGGATTCAAACCCGACTTTGGACTTCAAACCCAATATATTACCCCCATGCCCCCCAAGTTGGAGCCTTGAAAATACTAATGATCTCTCTGTTTGCCTCTGTTTCCTTCACCTGCCCGAATTAAACATTTGCTTCCTGACCTGAGTTTCACAGCAGGGGGGGCAGGGAACAGAGAATCACTGCATGCTTCCACACAGACCCATTTCAAGAAAGTGGGCCCCCCCTTTAGACAAATTTAAGCAAGTGCCCAGAGTCTTTTAGAGTCTTGTGCACATTTAGATCTCAGAACTGAGGGGGACATTGGACATGACATAATCAGACACCCCCATTTTAAAGGAAAGTAAACTGAGGTTCTTGGAGCCGCACAGTGAAGCGGTTTCCTAATCTGATTCCAGCTCCATCCCTAACTTCCTCTGTCACTTACTAGGGTGTTTCTGGTGTTCTCTGAGCCTCTGCTCTTCTCTGTAAAACAAAGCTAATTCCAGCACCTCATACGGCAGTGTAAGCGCTCAGTGAGAAAACGCGGTCAAGTGCCCACTCAGCTTGGTGTCTAGCACACGGTCAGGGCCCGGTAAGTGCTGGGTATTAACGTTACCATTGAGCTGACTTGAGGAAGACTCCGAGACTCCCTCCAAACGCCAGCACCTTTCCAGCAAAACCAAGCCCACCTCACCCTCTCTTTCCTGTCCCTCCCTTTCTGCATTAGACACTCTCAGACCTCGGTCCTTTGTGAGAATGGATGGATTCTATGTCCTCTCCTTGGCTGCCTGAATTTTGTTTCTATACCCTTAAGTGACAACAAGGCACCCAGGGCACTAAAATTCTCTTCCGAAATTTAGCTGCATCTGGGTGGGGAAAATGACAAAGGACAGGAGCCTGGACCTTCAGGGCCCCCCTCTGCCCCCAGGTTGTACAGTGTGTCAGAGGGGAAGGAAGGAGACAGAGGACCTGGGGCGCAGGGAGGAAGGGCTGCTCCGGCCTCGCGTCCCCGCACAGCCCCGGCAGCTGCTGACGTCCTGAGCTTCGGCTGGAAAACACCCCAGTGTGGAAGGCCACAGAGCTGGGGGTCTGGGGAGCCCTAGACAGGAGTGAAGGGCTCAAGGCTTATGAGGTCCCTGGTCACAGGTCCAGGTCCCTCTCCAGACCCGCACGTCAGACTGCGGACTGTGAACCAGACCCGCTCTGGCAGAGATGGACCAAAAGGCAGAGGCCTCCTCCTGCCGCAGGGCCTCAGAGAACTGGTGGCCTCAGGAAGTCCCGCCTCGGGAGGAAGCCTGGCGTGGTCCCTGGGGGCCCTCTGAACCCAGCCATGCTGGGGGTGAAGGGACAGTGTCGCGACCTAAGGCAAGGGATTCTTCAGCCTGTCCTGGAAGACAGATGAAGCCACGCTGTGCCAGGCCGGACGGACACTGGCTGGGGGGTCGGGTGCTCCAAGCTCCGTGGTCAGTGCACTGCTGGTCTGCCCTCCGACAAATGGTGATGGAGCTCTGTCTGTGCTCTCTCTTTCAAACCTGGGGCCCTGTCCCTGCCTCCGTCGGGGGATGTGGTGGAAGTGACACCGCCTGCCTCCGAGGGCAGGTCACAAGAGGCAACAGCGTTCCCTCCTGGCTCTGCCTCTGCCCCAGGAGGCACCCCCCTGGCACCAGCTGACAGACAGTGAGGAAGCCCAGCTACAGGGGGAAGCACACGAGTCTGGCCGATGGCCCAGCTGACGTCTCAGGCAGCAGCTAGTATTCAGCCCCCTGAAGGATGGGCCTATGGATGATTCTGGCACCCAGATTTTGATTGGCCCCAAGTGGGACCTGGGGGAGCAGAGACCAGCTGCCCCTCCTGGATTTGGATTCCCGCCCCGCAGACCGCGTGAGCACGAGGAACACCATTCTGTCAATGGGCTCGGGGGCGCCTTGTTGTACAGCCATGCCCACCACGACACAGCTGAAACTAAACTGGCACGTTCGCTGCCTCTCGCCAAACGCAGCCGTCACCAGCCTCCTCTCCGAGACCCCAGACTCTCAGACTGCTCCCTCCTCAGGGGGTCCCAGACCCGCAGAGCCTGCCTCCCCGCATCCTGCCCCCCAACCCCTGAAAGACCATTCGACTCTTCCCGTGCCTGAGCCCTGGGACCTGAAGAAAGCTTCGCCTGGTTCCTCAGTGCAGGCCAAGCCTGTGTCCCCGCGAGGGAGCTGTGTCTGAGTGTGCGTGGCCCAGGAGCCTGGCTGCCCTCAGGGACGGGGAGAGACCATGGAGGCCTATTCCCCCCACGCACTCTGCTCTCATTAAGGTTCACGCTCAGCTTGCTCCCCTCGTACTTGACTTGACTTACGAGGTCCCTCTAACCTCCAGTGCGAGGAGGCATCGATTCTCACAAAGGGCATTATCTTTCCACTCTGGCTCCCTCACCGCCAGCCCTGTCTCCTAGGTAGGCTTTCCTGGAACAGGATGGGGGGAGGCACGCTTCCCACCCCCTGGGCCTGGGGGTCCGACCACTCCAGAGCCAGGGCTGCAAAGGAGGTGCCCCGGGAGCCGTGGCCGTCAATCACAGAGGCGACCAGCACTAAATCGCAGACCATTAGGCGGGAGGGCCGGCGCCCTGCTCGCTCGCCGGGCAGCCATCGGCAGGATGTTAGACGATCGCAGGGCGGCCATTCTTATGATTTATTCAAATACTCATTACAGTCAATCTATTTTTACACAGAGGTGAAGATGTGTGCTGATCACGGTTAATCATTTATAATTCCATGGACTGGTTGGAAGCCAATGTTCTATCAAAGTCGGAGTAGCGGCTCGGCCTCCGGTAGCCCCAGAAGCAGGGTGGGGGGGCCGGGGCAGCCCAGCCTCCCAGCTCACACCTGCGGAGCGGCAGCCAGGGCGTAGGTGCACCGGGGACACGCAGACGTGGGAACCCCAGGCTGCCCCCAGGAACTCCCAGCCTGGGGAGGGCGGGCGGGGTTGGGTGGTGCTCAGAATGTGAATGCAGCTAAGAATTTCGGAAAAGGGAGAAATCATTCTAGCTGGAGTTACCAAAGAAGACCCCGCAGAGGGGCCCGGGCTGAGGCCGGGTCCTACAGGTGCGCGCACTTGGTCGAGGGGGGAACCAACATGAACCAGTCCGCACAAGTACAAGGTGGGATGTTACCGTGTAAGGGAAGGGAAGTGACCAGCGGTATTTCCTGGTCCTTCTCCGCCCCACCCCTAGACATAGCCAGATGCAAAAGCAGGGACAATGACCTTAGCCCAGGTCCCTCTCTCACGGACCCCCGGGCTTAGCCCACACACAATAGGGGCCAGAGTCTGGGTCAGCCTTGCCAACTCCAGAGCGTCCCTCTGTGACACTCTGACACACGTAACCCAGCAAGGCCACCTAGTGCACAGTCAACAGTGTAATTAAGTAGCATGTCATATGACAGGGCGTCTGTGTCGCATTCAGACCTAACCTAATTACAGGTCTGCTGTGGTTCAGATTCCGACAAGCCCATTGTTGAGTGTTTTCTCTCAGCGGGCCTGACGTTAGAGAGCAGGCTCGGGGCTGGTCTTTAACCCACGACCTCCATGAGGCGCCATGGAAAACGCCGATCAGATTTACTCACAGTTCACAGTCCCTCTTCTGCTGAGCGGCATGGAGGACAGACAGCCCCGGCGTCCTGCTCCAGACTTCACCTGTCGACAAAGGAGACGTTTTTACAGGCTGTGTATGACCCTGCTGGGAGCAAGAGCCAGGTGCAGGTGACAGGCAAGTCAGGAGCGGGTCAGCTCAGGAGCAGGGCCAGGGCCCTCGGCCCCATGCCCACAGTGCTCAGTGCACCAAAGTCTCTGGAGCGAGGGACTCCTGGCGCACAGCTGTCATCGGAAGGTGGCTACTTGGGACAGAGACAAGATCGCTCCCTCTCCCTCACCTGCTTGTTGCCTCAATTTCTTTGAGTTCCATCCCCTTCCCCACAGAAATCCCTGAGAAAGATTCCGGGCTCATGGCTGTGGAGAGCCCGGAGCTGGCTGAGGCAACAATTAGCTACTCGTGCCTGCTGTCTGGGAGGACCCCAGGCAGGGACAGAGCTGAGCAGCCCCGTGACAGTGGTAGTATGTGGGGGGAAGGCTGCAAAAAACAAGCAAACAAACAACAAAACAAATGCTGTTGGTTATGGCAAGAACATGGAAAGGGGACGTGGGAAAGAACTTTTAAGCCACGCTGAAGGGTCTAGTTGGGCTGGAAGGAAAAAGATGTGCATGGGGAGTAACCGGGCAAGGCTGGGAAGATCGACCTCAGAACTGTGTTTGACCCTCTTTCTGGGATAAAGCGGCAAAAGCAAGGACGAGAGTGAGGAGGACGTAGCACGTAGCATCGTCAGGTGTCCGAGCCGTGATTTACACTCTTGAGGGGCTGCAGGAATAAAGTCCACAGGTCCTGTTATAAAAATGCTGCCACGTCACCGGGGGAATAAGATTAGCCACACGAAACAGCATCAGATAAAACAAGGCTATATGTGAAGTCATGCTGAACTGCGACTATAATTCTCCCTCCAAAGAGAAGCGAGGGCCGAGCACTCAAGGCAGTTTTCAGGGGGTGGTAAAGCCTGGCCGGGGTCTTGGAGGGCTGGACGAGTGAGATGTGGCTGACGGAAGGGAGGGAGGGGGGCAGTCCCAGGAAGGAGGAGAGGAAGTGCGCAGAGCCCTTGGGCAACACAGAGGCCCGTCAACTGAGAGACACCAGGGCAGGGACTGACGCTGAGCAAGCCGGACCGGCCAGAGCATCGGGGCTGCGAGGGTCAGACAGGGAGGCTGGGCTGGGCTGTGAGCTCATGGAGCCAGGGAAGTGTTTGGTTTTTAACGCTAGTCGATACAGAATACTACATTCGTTTCAGGTGTGCAACACAGTGATTCTACATCTACGTGCCTTATCAAGTGACCACCACAAACCTAGTAACTCTCTGTCATCATCCAAAGTCACCACTGAAGGTTTTTCAACAAGGAAATGACACAGAGAAGAGAAGTCCCACCCCACCCCCACCTTTAGTATTGTCCTTCTAATTAAGACAGAGAGGCTTCTTGGGAGAGGTGGAATTTCAGGGAGAAGACTCAGGCATGGACTGTAGTGTGATGTGCCCATGGAAAGAAAATGTCCTTTTTCACGGTCATGTCCACCAGGATGAGGCAGTTGCTCTGGGGCTGTCTGGTATCCTCTGCGTGACCTCAGAGACAAGACCAGATCACAGGATGGCAAGTCTCTGAGGACAAGGACAAGGACTGCACCTTATTCGGCTGTGTAGCTACCAGAGTACTCAGCATGCGTCAGGTCCTCAGAAAAAGTCAGTGGAAATGTTTAATGATGGATTCTTTTATTCCAGCCAGAATCCACAACCAGCATCTCAGAACCAGCCCCCGGCTGGCAACAGGCTCCAGCCTGTGTCCTCCTCAGGTGCTGGCCCGGTGCCGCTGGGCACACAGGAGCTCAGTACACGAGGTCTCCAGGCTGAACTGCCTGGGGCGGGGCTTTGTCCCGGCCTCCAGGACAGTCTGCTGAGACAGCACTTTCTCTGAAGAAGACATGCGGACTGCCATTTGCAAGCATTGCAAAGCTGGGAAGGGTGGTGGCTTTGCTGGAAGGATGGATTCCAGGGGGTTATAAAGCTTTTAACACGCTGAGAGGATGGGCCCGGACTAGAAAGTCCATTTTCCCTCCATCAGTTTTTGCTTCTTGCACAACAACATCATGACAGCCATAAATAAAATAATTTGGAAAATAAAGGAGAATTGCCTGCCAACCCATCACTCTAAACCATCCAGTCACTTTATGTCCACATGAAAATCCATTTCTATTTTTTGCAGAATTGTAGAAAAAAATTTAACAGGAATATGCACACCAATCCTACTCTTACATTCAAAAATCAATTGCAAAAGCACAGAATAGGCTGACTTGGTTTAAAAAAAAGTGGGTTGAGTGAAACACAAGCTCAGGACGAGCCCAGGGTGTGGTGTTGTTGCCAAACCCATAAACTGGGACTGTCGGTGCGTTCACAGCCGGACCGTGTCCACCCGAGGGGTGAACGCCCTCCTCGCTCTGGGTCTGTTGTGCAAGTCTGGCGGCACATGTTACTAACTCACAGCAGTGAGTAGGAGAGAGCGGCGAGCAAAGACATCTGGTGGTTGGAGCACCGGTTAAAGTTCTACAGATGCAGTGTGAGCTCTGGGGTCAGCCTGCTCAGCTCAGCCTGACCAGCAGCATGGCCACAGGCAAGTGACTTAACCTCTCTGCGCCCCAGATTGTCCTCTGTGAGGCGGGGCTGGTGAGGGCTCTGCCTCAGAGGTAGGTCGTGAGGACTGAAGCTTTCACACACCGTCACATGCTCACGGTACCTCCCACAAAAGAAGCACTCTCAGAACGTTACCTACTGTTGTTATTTTCACCACCAGGAGGCTGCGCAGTGGAAGGTATGAAAGAAGAAACAGAGTTGTGTCTTCCTTCGTCCCACACTGGTGTTGTTCACTGGTCCTAGAAATCCTAGCTAAGGCAGCGACCCTTTGGCCACCTGGGGGTCCCCCAAATGTTCGAAGAAACAATAAAAGAGAAACTGCCTTACTCTGGACTGTAGGGTTAGGACCAGCTAATAGATATTAGAGGAAGCCAGTCTTCAGCTCCATATAAGAAAGCATTTTCCAGCAATGGGAACCAGCCAAAACTGAATAAGGCTTCCTCCGAAGATACTGAGCACCCCCCGCCACACACACACACACACACACACACACACACACTGAACGGAGAATCCCGCTGCAGGGCGTGGTCTCCAAACATGGTCCACCCATCAGTCCAGGGGTGAACAACATTCACAGACTGAAAGAGTGGACAAACTTGTGTACTGATAAAATATTAACCGTGTTCTCTTTCACCATCGTTTCATTAAGTAATTCGACCCCTCAAAGGTGAGGAGAGGAAAAAGAACTGTTCTCTGAGTTGAACAGAGCTCCATGAAAAGCATTTATGATCCACGTCTGCTTTTCTCCCACGCACAGGTACCCGTGCATCCACGCACACATATGCACCTGCCACCTCTCCACATTGTCCTTGCTTTGCATTCCTGACCACGAGCCGGTAGAAAGTCTTCCCCAACTGGCGCCGACCCGCGGACCCTGCTGGGGAAGCATCTGTGCGGAGGCTATTTTAGGCCGTTCCAAAGCCGGCAGTTTGTGGTCCTGGCAGGCCAGTGATCGTGCGGAAGGCCTTCAGACCAGCACCTATGCAGCAATGCAGCCAGAATCTCAGCTAAGGCTTGTTTTATTCACCATGAAAATAAAGTGGAACCATAAATGAGTTTGACTGCTCCGGTTATAAATAGGAGGAAGTTTGTGAAATGGTAAATGTGGAGGGAATTGTTGAGTGCTCATGTTTGTTTGGGAAAGAGGAGGGGAGAGGGACAGAAGAAAACTTCCTTGGGGAGCAGCACATGCTGAGGGACAGTGGAGGGAGGGCCCATGAGGCTGGCTCATCCAGGTGAGCTGGAAGGGTGGAGAGAGGTGACCCATGGGCCTAACACGGAGAGCAGTAGACCCAAGTGTTGCAGACACGGGCTTGTGCCCTGACTTAGACATTAACTGCTACCTGGCACCTACTACTTGGCTCTGGGGCAGCAACCTACCCAGCGCTGCACAGGCCTCCTGGGAGTCTGGTAAGAACCCATGCTAATCCCATGCCCATCCTCGGTCCCCTGGGCCACAGGCAGCGCCGGGCACCCAGATGCAGAGACACCAGGAAAAGTCCCTCAGTCACATTCTCCAGGCCCAGCCCAGGCCCAGGATTCTAACCTTGGGCCTGTACCTGTAAGTACAGGTGTGCACAGAAGACCCCAGAAGGACTGTTGGCCCTGGTGGGCTAATGCTAATAATTTTCCAGCATGAGAGAAGGAACTGGAGACATCGTGACCTGTGGACAGCAGATGGGAGTAAGAGGGGAGACTCACAGGCACAGAGATGTGGGGGCTCCCAGGGCAGCAGGGCCCCTGTAGAGGGGGAGGGTCTGCTCACAGGGTACCTTGCCTGGCCCTGCGGACATCCTCTGGGGTGTGAGCAGACCACAACTTGCTTATTGTCCACTAGGAAGGTCACTGCTCTCCTTCCTGCCCAGGTTGCTGAGCTGCCTCATGCTTTCTTTCTCCTCCTGAGCCCCGACTGGTCCTCTGGCCTCCAGGTTCTCCCCATTTCTGCCTGTTCACCACCTACCCCCAGGCCGGGCTCCTTCTGAAACACACACTTGATTGTGTCCACTCGTCCTCAGGACCCCGAGATGACCCCTCATTGCCTGCCAGAGAAGGTCAGCCGGCAGCTCCTAGGCTAACTCTCCCTTGGTCGGGGTTTTTGTAAATTCTGCCAACATCTAACAAGTGGGAAAGCTCACATTTGAAAATCCAGAATTCTAACTCTTCCTAAGGACCTGGATGACCTAGCAAGGCCAGTCCTGCACTTCCGCGTGGCACCCACTGACACTGAGTACCAGCTGCCCCCTTTCAATCAGACAGAGGTCCTCCTGTTGGACCCAGAGAGAGGAGCCAGGTGTCACCTGGAAGTCTCTCCTGTCACAGGCCCCAGCTCCTGGAGACTGAGGCAAGCTGCCTGCTGAGAAGTCTTGGGTTCAAGGCGACCACATGGGTGGGTCAGGCAGAGTGGCTCATTCT